CCCCCCGCCCCGGCCCAGCAGACCCTCCGCACGGCCCGCCGCTCACCGGTGGGCACGCCCAGCTCCTTGGAGCCCCTGCCGAAGCCCTTCACCACCTCCCCGCGGCAGAAGTACGGCAGGTGCCTCATGGCGGCGACGGAGCGCCCGGCGCTGCCGGCCGCCCCCAGCCTCGCGCAACCCGGCCTCGCGCCGCCGCTTCCGGCCGCGGCCGCAGCGCCCGCCTCGCCGCGGGCACCACCACGCGAGGGGGGGCGGCAGCGCCGGACTCGGAGCGGCGGGACGCGCCGGCAGGCCTCGGCCTCCCCTCGGCGATGGGCTCGTCCAAGGCCTCGCCGCCGGCCCCGCCCCTCGCCGTCCGCCGTCCGCCGTCGTCCGTGCCGGTTTCCCCGCGGAGGTCGCTCGCTCCGCCGGCCGGCCGGGGGGAAGGGGCGCTGCCGGGACTGCGGCGCTGCTGGCGGAGGCTGCCGCGCGGAAACGAGCCCCTGCGGCCGGCGCGGGCCGCGCTGCCGCCTTCCTGCCGCCTTCCTGCCGCGCCCTGTCTCCCTTCCCGTGCGCACAGGCGGCGGGCGCGCCTTCCCTTCGGCTCTGCTCCTCGCGTTCGCTTTTCCTGTCAGAAAACCGCAGGTTTTTGCGGTGCCACGCGTAGCCTCGTTGACGCAAAAGCACGTAAATTCGCTGATGCGAATGACCGTCCTCCTGAGCGCCGTCGCTCGTTTTGCCGTTCTAATCTCCCAGTCAGGGAAGCGTTCCCGGATCTACGTCTGGTCCTGTCAGCTGGTTTCTCGCGAGGGAAAGCCACCCAAGCACCGGTGCCCTGCCCGTCCCTACCGGCAGCCCCGCAGCAGCTCCTAGGACCGGGCAGCTGCCGTGGCACACTGGTTACAGCACACTGGAGAGTGCTGAAGGCTCACCCATTCGCAGCGCCTGAGGGCACTGATTGCTGCGCAGGATAAGGCGGAAATCATTTCTAGAAATGGTTCTACCTCAAATTTACCCTCTTCCTATTTCTTCCTTCTCACAGTCCTCCGCCATCCATTTAATGTTAACATCGTAATTCACTACCCCAGTTTGAGCAACTTGCACAATCGTTGCTTGTGTAACCGCAGCTGAACGGAACAGAATGAAAAAGAAAGAAAAACAGAAGAGAAAAAGATCGTAAAGACAGTAGCACTTTCTGTTCTGCTATCTGACAGCATGGAGAGATAAGTGTCACAAAAAGGTTTGTCTTGTGATATTTGACTATGAAGAAGCTGTTATTTAATTACCTATCTAGAGGTACACCATGACAGTCAACACTGGCACTCTGCCCCCTGGAATTTTTAGGCTATTTCATCTGTAGGGTGAAACTGATAAATTAGAAACCCTATGAAGCAAATAAATGTATAATGTTTGTCATACGTTCCTTCCTGGCAATAGCAAACTATATCTTCGGTTACAATCTGCATATTTGCAGATGTATACTTGTGTTCTTCCATTCATTCTGATATTCATGCGATGTCCACAAGATGTCATCCAGACTTTTCTTTTTCAGTATTTGCAGATTTTGGCAAAGCTTACGCAGTCTCAGTAGCAGAACAACTCTTGAGAAACAGAAAGTCAGGTAAATATTTGCGTAAGCATCGTGTAGATAGTAGCCCTACGGCAGTCTAACTGGTGAGCTACGTCTTATCCTGTCAAACAGCTGATACATTAGTCCTCCTCTTCAGAAGCTGTAGATTGCTGTGATCCAGCTATAAATTGCCCCTCACATTGGACATGTCTCTCCTCTGATATACGTTGTACTCAGTTCAGATTAGAGGGATGGTTTTATGTAAGGAGAATTTAATTACCTGTATTCTAATTTAGCAGATTTTTTCTTCAAATATTTTGTCTGAATTTTAGTCAGAAACATATGCCAAGTAGATTGATAGCTTATCTGTGCAGTTATCAAATCCAGGCACTGTTTCACACAGCTGGAAAAGAACTGCTCTGTTCTGATGATGCATTTTAACAGCTGTTGTTGTTAGTGAAAAGTCCCCAAGTATTTGATGTAGCCATAGAAACCAGAATAAAGAAAAGGGAGCAGGTGCCGTGTGCCATCAGTGAGGGCTTCCCTTCATCGAGAATGGCCTGCATTGCCCCGTACCTCTGTTCTCATTACAGAAGGCTGAAAGGGCATCTTTAATTTTCAAGCTGCAAGGGGAAAAACAACAACATCAGAAAGAGAAGATGGAAATGGTGGTCCCAGTGACTCATCTTGAGGGAGGAGGTAGCAAAGGAAATGACTTCAATGCTTTCTCCCAATTGCTTCTTATTATTCATTAACATCATTCTCTTCCTACCTTCCTTGGGCCGTACCTCAATATGACAGGGAGGCCTTAATCTGTATCCTTGTCTCTTTGAAAGATGACAGCTTGCTCATACTTTAAGTAATGACAGAGCAAACGTGACAGACTCTGGTGATAATTTCTTCTTGCTATTGAAAGGAATATGGCATTTATAATGATGCTGCCAACAGATGATGCTGTCTCCCACATCCAGGCAGGGTACACCTGTGTTTACTGAAGCACTGCTGTCTGTATAAGGATGACTGTATCTGCTGTATTCTGCCTTGCAGAAAACATAAGAGGGCACTGTAAGGACATCTGCTGGGGCACCTCTTGCTGGCCTTTGCTGTGTGAGGGTGGATGTTGTGACAGAGATAACTTTGCAACCTGTAAGGGAGGTTCACTCTGTTTTCCTCTTTTTATTCTACCTGTTTTATTAAGCCATTTGTTGTTGCACTCTTCCTTCTGAGATCCAGAAAGAGCTCCGCAACATTTCTCTTTGTCATCTTCTCCCACACTCAGGTGCAGAATAGCAACTATAATTTAGGACAGCACTGGAAAATCAGCCCATGTATATTATTCATAGTTGACAGAACACCAAGAATTAATATGTATTCCTGTAATTACTTGGTATAGCATATCGGGTACTTCTATGAAGGTGGTATACAGAGAGACTGCCAAGGACAAATTTTGGTAAAAAGAAGCTGACTTGTTGAAAAGTGTTCTGCTGATCTCAGTAATCTCACTATAATAAGAAGATACCCACAAAACAAATGAGGTATAGCAAAAACACCACATAGAGAAAATTCAAAATTAACGAAAGTGCTGCCAATTTCACAGAAATTTGACAAAACTTCACCGTCACCAAAAAATAACAGGTATCATGATATTTTGAGTAGATATTGAAAGCTTGATGACAAAGGAAGTAAAAACAAGAGTCTAATGCTGTTTTTATACTGAAAGGAACATTAGCTCTGTAGCCTTACACTCTCATTAATTCATTTGGATTTGCTGGGGAAAAAAGTATTAATACTGTTGTAGAAATACATGCTTGTTCAGTGGAGAACAGAAGCGGTTTATTGCTGTAGCTATAGGAGTGCACAGAGCAGCAGGATGACAGACTGCTGATGTGAATTCTGCCCATATGAGTCAGTTACAGAGTTTATATGCCTTATATTTGACACCTTCTTCACCAAAACTTAGGTAAACAGATCATGGTAGATAACAACAGTAATTGAAATGCTTCAGTTAAGGAGACTTTAAGCAGTACATCATTTTAGTAATCACTCCTGTTATGAGTAAACCCCTTCTTTGCTAATTAAATTGTGCTTACTGACAAAACCATTAGTTCTAAATATTTATCTCATAGTGTTTCTTAGCTAACTTTCTGAGGCTAGCAAAGGACTATGAGACATTAAGTATTTTGCATCCACAGTACTGGACTCCCTTTTCCTCCTTTCTGAAAGTAGCAATATCAGAGAATATAGCATGAAATCATTAGCTTCTGGGCCAACAACCCAGAAGTCTGCAACATAATCAAAGTGCAAATAGGAAGTTTAGAACTAGAATACCTGGAAAAAATGTATGTGTTGGTACAAAGTCAAAGTTGCTCCTCATGTTATAGAAGATCACATGAGTTTCATAATTATTAATAGAAAGAAAATATATGATTGTCTAGTAAAGTGAACACAGAGATTATAAAAAGTTTACTGTGAAATTGTTCCTTTCTGCTATGATAACTAAACAGCAAAACAAAAGGCAAAAGGAGAAACAAAACCAAAATTTTATTGGAAAAAAATAGGCTGTGAAATAGTCAATACATCATAGAAAATCAAATGAAAGTCTTGAACATAGCATTGTAGAGACAAAATCTGTAGCCTTACAGAAGGAGGCTGCAGTTAACATTCAGTAGTCTTCTAGTTGTCTTGGCTGCCTGGGGAGGATGCAGTTGACTGGAGATTGGCAGATGTGATGACCATCTGCAAGAAGGGCAGCAGGAAGATCCAGGAAGTTAGAAGCTGTCAGTCTCACCTCAGTAGCGGGGAAGGTAGTGAAGCCAATCATCTTGAGTGTTGTCTCACAACAAACATGGGACAACTGAATGATCAGAAGCAGCTGGCATGGGTTTATGAAAGGGAGGTACCTCCTGACTAACTTGATCTCCTGTGAGAAAATGATCTTCTTAGTAGGGACTGGCTGTGGATGTTGTCTACCTGGATTTTATTAAAACATTTGACACTGTTTCTTAAAGTACTCTCCTGGAGAAACAGGCTGCTTATGGTTTGGACAAGGTTTACAGTTTTCTGCCGAAGAACTGGCAGGACAGCTAGATTCAGAAGTCATAGTAAGTGGAGTTCAACCCAGCTGGTGACTGGACACTTGGGGATTTCCTTGGGGCTCTGTATTGGAGCCAGTTTTGTTTAACATTTTTATTAGTGATCTGCACCCTCAGTAAGTGTGCAGATCATACCAAGTTAGGCTGAACTGCTGATCTGCTTGAGGGTAGGAAGGTTTTGCAGAGTGATCTGGATAGACTGGATTGGTGGGCTGAGTCCAGCTATATGGCATTCAGCAAAGGTAAACACCAGGTCCTGCAACACCTCATGCAGCAGCATAGGCTTGGGGCAGAGCTGGGGCAAAGTTGCACTGCAGAAGAGGATGTGAAGAGGCTGATCAACAGCCAGCTGAACATGAGCCAGAAAGTGCACAGGTGGCCGAGGCCAATGGCAGCATCGGAAATAGTGCTGCCAGCAGGAGTAGGGAAGTGGTTGTCCCCTGGTATGTGGCACCAGTGAGACTACACCTCAAACACTGACTTCAGTTTGGTGCCCCTCATTATGAGAAGGATATTGAGTTGCCTGTGTTGAGTACGTGAAGAGAAGAAAAGCTA